GGGCACTAGTGGCTCATGGCTGTGATCCCAGTTACTTAGGAAACTGAGATCTGAGGATCGTGGTTCCAAGCCAGGCTGGGCTGGAAGGTCTGTGAGACTCTTATCTCCAATAAACTACTCAAAAAAAGCTACAAGTGGTGCTGTGGCTAAAGAGGTAGAGTGCTAGCTTTGAGCATAAAGAAGCTCAGGGATAGCATCCCAGCCCAGAGTTCAATCCCCAGGACCAGCAAATAAATAAATAATGAAAAATAAAAAGAAAGACTATTATATGTAACAAGTTGCCTACCATTTGATGTACAAAACCACAACTTAAAGGCATTTACTCTCATACAGCCCTAAGTTACATCAACGGAATTCTTGTCTTTAGAATGGACAAGTATTTAAAGAGCCCAATAGTCACTATCAGTAACAAAACAGCTATCCACAGGAAGAAAGCTCAAAAGAGTCCAAGCCTGATGATTCAAGCTTGGAAGGTTATGGGACTTAGGTCAAATCTGAGTACTGTATTCCATGATATTAGTATTGGTGTAAGAGAGATTTCCTGAGCCAGGTACTGGTATGATTTAAACCCACAGAAATGAAACAACTAAGGAATGGTTGCTGTGAGCCCAGGTGGGTCAGGCTGCTGTTGAATAGCACATCTGGATTTCTGTTTGGAGCACAAACCCTGACCTTTTCTAGGATTGCAGCAGCCAGCTGATTTCATAAAGCCCTAAAGAATCACAGCTAGGGGGCTGGGAAGGTGGCTCAGTGGTAGAGCACTTGCCTTGCATGCTCGAGGCCCTGAGTTCAATTACTCAGCACCACATAAGAAAAAAGCCGGAAGTGGCGCTGTGGCTCAAGTGGTAGAGTGCTAGCCTTGAGCTGAAGAGCTGAGGGACAGCGCCCAGGCCCAGAGTTCAGGCCCCCCCAAAAAAAAACAAAAAAAAAAAAAAAAAAAAAAAGAATCACAGCTAGCTGGGACCCCATTATAGACTTTCAACCAGGAAGACGATCAATGGATCCATCAATATGGCAATCTCTGCCCTGCTGAGGAAAGCAGGTTCAATGATGTAAGTAAAATTTAGAACTTCTCTCTTTGGGTACAGAAGTACTGTCTTCTCAGTTTTAAAAAGATAGTTCCTATTATTTAAAAGTAATGGCATGTTAAAGGAATTTCCTCCCACAAAACTTACAATCCTCCAATTACAGCTGATTCTTTTAGTATTAACAAATGCCCAAGGAAATATTTAAAGAGATTTAAGGAAATGGTTCTTGAAGTAATGCCTCATGTGTCACAGATGATGGTACAACAGGTCTGCTAAATACTGAGGAAGTCTAATGGTGAGTAGCTATAGGAGTATGAGAGGGACATCCATTAAAATCATGGCAGTTTCTTTATAACTACTCTCAGAATCAACAGGTTAGGTTTACAGGACAAGAGAAGAACCAAAGCCAAGGGGCTGAGAATGTGGCTCAGTGGTAGAGCGCTTGCCTTGCATGCATGAGGCCCTGGGTTCGATTCCTCAGCACCACATAAGCAGAAAAAAAGCCAGAAGTGGTGCTATGGCTCAAGTGGTAGCGTGCTAGCCTTGAGCTGAAGAGCTGAAGGACAGCGCCCAGGCCCAGAGTTCAGGCCCCACTACTGGATGCCCCCCCCCCAAAAAAAGAAAGAACCAAAGAAATCAATAACATAAAGAAAAATACAGGGTGGGGAGAAGAAAGGAATATTAGATCCTCTTCTTTGCTGTCATTTCAAACATCGCTTCTTTGAGACTTTTTAATCCTTCTCTTCTTTAATGAAAATAACCAGAATATGAAAATTGAGCGGGGTGCCTAGTTATTCAGAAGGCTGAGGTCTGAGGATCATGCTTCAAAGCCAGTCTAGGAAGGAAAGTCCTTAAGACTCTTATCTTTAACCAGCAAAAACCTTGAAGTGGAGCTGTGACTCAAGTGGTGGAGCACCAGCCTTGAATGAAAAAGTCAATCAAGGGTGTAAGACCCTGAGTTTAAGACCCAGTGCCAGCACAGAAAAGAAAAAGAAAAAAGGAAAAGAGAGTTGAAAAAGATAAGCAGAAAGATGATAACAGAATCTAACTTCAGCTTTTATCACTCAGATCTTGGTGTAGATAGATCTAGATTTTTTGGCATACCCATCCATGCCAGAAACAATGGGATAATACCTTATGCTGTTTTATAACCTTATATTTTTACTCAAGGACATATTGAGTAAAATGCTTCTATCTATAAAAAGTTATCCTGGACTCTATCTGTAAGGGTAGTGAAACACCAAGTAAGGGCTGTAGACCCTGATGTCAAGCAGGTTAGGATTCAAGTCTCAGGCTGGCTGCTTTGTAATCATATGATCTTTAGATTCTCATTCAGGTTTCTTATCTAAACAACAGAGATTACAATATTACACACTCTTGAGTTGCTTCTAAAATTAAATGAAATAATACAAAGTATTTACCAAATACCTGGTGTGACAGGTGCTCAATATAAGATAGTTATTATGCTAACTATTCTATAATTATATTTATTTTTTAAAAATCCAACCTCTCTTGCTGTGCATTTAATGATTTCTATGTTTATTCTCAAATTGTTAGGATTCATAAGAAGGTGCAAAAACAGTACCATGGTGCAGTACAAAACCCAAGATAACTGGCAGTGGTATAATCTACGAACCTTGCCCAGATTTCATCAGATTTACATTCTCATTTGTGTAAACATATGTGGGTGTAAATGGATATATCTTATTATGTATGCATATTCCTATAACCAGTATCACAGTCAGAACTTCCCATCATCACAAAGATCCCTTCATATTCTTCCACTTTCTTTCTCCCTGTCCTCAATCTCTGACAAACACTAATTTCTTCTTTCTTTCTATATCATTTCTGAAATGATATAAAGTGGAACTATGTGAACTTTAAAGACCAGCTAGCTTCACATAGCAGAGTGTTCTTGAGATCATCTAGGTTGTTGTATATACTACTTGTTTCCAAGGAGTACTCTAGTGCATGGACCTGCCAGTTTAACCATTTACCTGCTGAAGGGCACTGAGTTGTTTCTAGTCTTTGGCTTATACCAATGAACTTTCTCTGAACCTTCCCTATATGTTTTATATGGACATAAATTTTCATTTCTTTGTGATACACTTTTATTTTCATGGGGCAAATCTTAGGAATATGAGTACTGATTTGTATGGCAGGAACATTTTTACTTTTACATAATATTATGAGACTATGCTCCAAGCTGGGCACCGGTGGCTCACACCTGTAATCCTAGCTACTCAGGAGGCTGAGAGCTAGGATCATAGTACAAAGCCAGCTCTGGCAGGAAAGTCCGTAAGACTCTTATCTCCAATTAACCACCAGAAAACTGGAAGTGGCACTGTGGCTCAAGTGGTAGAGCGCTAGCCTTGAGCTGAAGAGTGTAGAGACAGCGCCCAGGCCCAGAGTTCAAGCCCCTCAATCAACAACAACAAAAAAGACTATGCTCCAGAGTGCTGCACCATTTTGAATAGACAATAGCAATGAAGGAGCAATCTGGCTTCTGAACATGATAATAATTAGCATTTTGTACTAAATTTAATTTTTCTCCTGCTCTACTAGGTATGTAATAATATTCCATCATGGCTTTAATATGTACTTCCACAATACTGAATATTTATTATTTTTTTTGGTGGCACTGGAATTTCAAATTGACACCTTGCACATGTTAGGCAGGTTTACTTGAGCCACACTTTCAGCCTTTTTTTAGTGTTTTTTTTTTTTTTTTCCAGATAAGGTCTAGTATTTATGCCTGGATCAGGTGGACTACAATCCTCCTATTTACACTTCCCACATAGTTGCAGGGAGAGGAAAACACCATTAGACTTGGCTTTTTACTGATTGAGATGGGGGAGGGCCTCATGAACTTTTTTCCTCCCCAGCTAGCCTTGAACCACAATCTTCCTGATCTCCACAACCGGAATAGCTAGGATTGCAGGCATGAGCCATCATGCCTGGCTCTATTTCTAATTTTTTAAAGGATGAATAATGCTAGAGCAGATATCTGGTCTGGATAAATTCTAAGTTAATCACTACAAATGGATTCTTCAAAGTAGCATTGCTGAATAGGCTGAATTAAAAATAGTTGGAAGACAATGTCATATTGCTCTCCAGAAAATTACTTATTTATGTTCCAAAAGCATCACAAACTGCTTGGCTTTTAAGGTATACTCATCCCTCAGTATCCTCTCTTCCTTTACACTTAAATTACTTCTAGGGTACTTACAATACTTAAGACAATTCAATGATGCATAAATAGGGAATAATGGTAAGAAAAAAATATCTGTTCGTCACAGAGCTAATTTTTGTTTTGTTTTTTTTTGGTCCGGTCGTGGGACCTGAACTCTGGGCCTGGGCACTCTCCCTCAGCTCTTCAGCTCAAGGCTAATGCTCTACCACTTGAGCCACAGCGCCACTTCCAGCTTTTTTCCTTTCGCTTATGTGGTGCTGAGGAATCGAGCCCAGGGCCTCATGCATGCAAGGCAAGCGCTCTACCACTGAGCCACCTTCCCAGCCCCTACAGAGACAATTTTTTAAAAATACTTTCAGTCTATCACTAGTTGAATTCAGAACCTCTGCCAATGATATACCAAATATTTGCTGGGTGTGATGGTGCATGACTATAATCCCAGCTACTGGTTTAGGGTGAGGCAAGAAGATCACTTAAGTCCAGAAATTCTGGGCTGCAAACTCCTATATACTGATTGAGTTTCCACACTAGGTTCAGCCTCACTGTGGTGATCTCCTAGGAGAGGTTGTGTAAGGAGAGTGAACCAGCCCAAGTTGGAAACAAAATACTCTATTAAAATGAAAGTTCATACCAAGAAAATAGGTAATTATTAACTTGCATGAACTCTTCATAGAGCAGAAAATGAACCAACTAAGAAACCATCTCTAAGGACATTCCCAATTCAGGCATGCATTGCATATTGTCATCAAACACATTAGAAAGAAGGAATACTCATTTACCTTTATGAGCAACGTGACACAGATCTTCTTGCATTTTTGAAAACTCTGATGAGGTTTCAGAACCATCAGAATAATTTTTCTCTTCTCCGAAATCGAGTGTTGATAAATTAGGGTTGGAGGAGTGGAGTCTGACTGGACCAGAAAAAGGTTTAGGGACCTAAAGGGAAGACAAGTCTGTTCAGATATGAATTGTTCTGAATATTTACTTGGTTCTAAGATTGGAGCTTATAAAGAGAAGGACATTTTATACATAAGTCTTCCTATAGAGTGATAGAAAAGAAAAGGAAACTACTTCCACAGCAACTTGCTTCTTACAAAACGCAGATATGTGGGAAATCACATATTCTTTTAGAAATTATAGAAGCTTTAAAGCCATAGTTTGAAAATGGCAGCTAATGCTGCAAGGCTCTCTCAGTTACACAGGATTCCTTCTTCCTGTCAATCATCATTCAGTAACAAGGTAATTCTTTTCTTTATGTGTACCTGGGACTTCTACATAACAAACTTCCCTGTTTGCACATGGAAAATTCTTGACTTTATAAGGGAGTGTAGGGGCTGGGAATGTGGCTTAGTGGTAGAGTGCTTGCCTAGCATGCATGAAGCCCTGGGTTCAATTCCTCAGTACACCATAAACAGAAAAAGCTGAAAGTGGCGCTTTGGCTCAAGTGGTAGAGTGCTAGCCTTGAGCGAAAGAAACTGAGGGACAGTGCCCAGGCCCTGAGTTCAAGCCCATGACTGGCCAAAAAAAAAAAAAAGTGAGTTTGGCCAGGTGTTGATAGCCTATGCCTGTAATCCTAGCCCTCAGAAAGCTGAGATCTGAGGATTACAGTTCAAAGCCAGCCCTAGCAGAAAACTCTTGTGAGACTCTTATCTCCAATTAACCAGCAAAAACCTAGAAGTGGAGTTGTAGCTCAAGTGGTAGGTCATCAGCCTCGAAGAAAAAAAATCAAGCAAGAGCACAAGGCCCTGGGTTTAAATCCTAGTACCAGCCCCTCACCCAAAAAGAAAAGTAAAGCAAGTATATGAGTTCAAGCCACAAGATGCTTTAAACCAGAGTATACATGAAACCATCAGATGATTTATTCAAAAGTTAGAGATCTGATTTTTAATAATTTATGTTTAATATACAACAGTCAGGCTGCAAATCTTGGCCAGTGGCTGAGCATTGGGAAGGACAACTCTGATGACCATAAAGGAAACCTCTGGTGGAGGAACTGAGAGTTTAGAGAAAAATAATGAGAGTGTGTATGATATCTTCATGTCTCAGAGACATGTACAGGTGGGGCCTGTGGGCTTGGTGCAGTAAATCCACCAAGAAGCCACAGGGCCATAACAGCCACAAGGCATACACTCAAGCGTGGAAGGAGGCAGCAAGCTAAAGAGTAAGAAGGGCAAACATGAGTCCTAGAAATGGTGGCAGTCCCTTCTGAGCCCATGTCATTTTCCTTTAGCTCACATTCTCTCCCTGTCCAATATTCATGATAAAGTTATTGTGATACCCAGAAGATCTAAGTAATTGAATTCATCTCTCTGCCCCAGGTAGTGGAAAGAATAATCCAGAACATTCATTTCTCTGTAATCCTATCTGAGTCAAAGCAGTTCCAACATGTGGCATGCAGAGCAAGGCCAATGAGGAAAGCGACAGCTGGCAGAAGCCACCGTTACCTGCAGTGTTCCTTTAGCATCTTTGCCAATAGCTCTGGACCGCCACCTTCTATGCGATCGCTTTTCCTTTTTGGGACTTTCAAAAGCTCCACCCTTTGTTACAAAACAGGAAAGAGAGCAGAGAGTGAGGCCCACAAAACCCATGGGGTAAACGCACAGCAGACCACCTCCATCCCCTGGAGCTTGGCTGAAGCACCTGGACAGACACAATGCCCTGTTAGTCAAAGGCTAGGGAGAAGGGCAGGAAGCAGAATCCAGAAGGCACACAGGAGGGGGTGGACTAACCTGGATGGCGTTGATGGCTGGCGCTGAGTATGTCCGATGCAGGACATCCATGCTCTGCAGGAGCTGGCTCATTTCCACCAGATATGCGTGGCAGTGTGCCAAGTCTGTGGGTGAAAGAAAGGAATGGTCCAAGTCTTGAGTAGCAGGAGTGATTACAACGCTGGCCATGGATGCTTTCTGATTTTTCCAGCCTCAGCTGGTTCACTCCTCCTTAGGTAATCTGGTGGTCCCAGCTCTCCCAGGAGGTCATCATGTTGATGTCAAACTTAGTGTGTGAACACCTGATTGGCATAGTTCACTGCAGCCTAGAACTTCTGGGACTCAAGCAATCTTCCTATGTCATCCTCCTGAACAGCTGGGATTATAGGTGCATACCACTGCACTTGGTACGTTTCTGATTTTTCTACATTTGATTTCCCATCTGTACAAGTAGAAAATTGTACTTTCTTTTTAATAGGAAAGGCTATAGACTTCAGCCTACATGCATGGACCTAGGGAACCAGGTTATCCCGATTTGAATCTACTTAACTTGTGACTACTAGACAAATGACGTAACTTCTCTGTGCCTCAGCTTCCTCCTAGCTCATAGAGAGTAGTGAGAGTTAAGTTGATATACACAGAGTGCTTAGAAGAGGCTCTGGCTTCTGTTAAGAACAAAATGTATCAGCCATCCTGAAGACCAGCAGCATCCAGCAACAACAGGCTGGATATAAAGACTCACGATTAAGTGGGTAAAATGGAATGAAGGCTAACTGGTCTCTAAGAATAACATCATTGATTATGGACCTGCCTGAGGACCATGATGAATATCTATAGATAGACTTGATATAACAGAAAGTAGTCTTAGCCTAGATCTCAGTCACTAATCAAGAAATTGTTCACAACTGGCTTTCACTGGGTATGATGATGGAGGTTTCTGCTGAACATTCAAAGCTTCCTTAGGGAAGCAGCTCTGAGTCTCTGGCATCATCACAATCACTGGGAGAATGTAAGCTATAAATCCTTAGCTTCCTACCCCCAATTTGTGACTTCATATTTCTTGATTGGGCTACAGCATTTCCTTTTGTTTTTGTTTTCTTTGGTACAGAGTTTTGCTATGCAGCTAAGGCTAGTCTCAAACTCATATGTAGTCCAAATACGCATCAACTTAACCTTCCTCCTACCTCAACTTCCCAAGTGCTGGGAATGCAGGCATGTGCTATCCCATCTGACTTGAAAATCTGCACTTCTAATTAAGTTCCCAGGCTAGGTTAATGTTGCTGGCCCACGTACATTTCAGAGGTTATTTACATTCACTGAAGCTTACTTATTTTTGATATACATTTCTGATATTTATTGAAAGGGCATGAGGCCACATGCCCCCCCATAGAAATAATATCTGCATTCAACAACAGGAAGAACAACTTCCAAGGGCACCACTCACATCTTTCTCTAGTAACAACTCTTGATCATGGCCACACATTAAAATCAATGAGAGAAATGTTCAACTAGAGTAATGTTTTCAATTTCATATGTCCATGTCTTACCTTTGAACAAGCAAATCACAGACCTCCTGTTTCTGTTGGTAATTTTGTTCTCATTCCTGTGATGAGTCTTAGCTAACTAAGACTGAGAACACTAACTTTCCTTGTGGCAGGAGTGCTTACCCAGGCTCCTTATTAGTACAGCACCAGGGCTCCCCTCTAGACTAATTTAAACAGAGAAAGAACTAGAAATTGATATTCCTGTATTTTAAGAAGCTTTCCTGGTGATTCTTCTCTTTCTTTCTTTTTTTATTTTGGTTATTTAAGATAAGATCTTACTATGTTACCCAGGCTGGGATTACAGCAATGTTCTATCATGCTCAGAGTCTCTTGATGATTCTAATGTACAGCCAAGGGTAGAGGATGCTTACATTTTGAAGATCTCTATTTGGCTACTGATTTACCTCTGGAACACTGTTTCTTTTTTTTTTTGGTCGGTAGTAGGGCTTGAACTCAGGGCTTGGGCGCTATCCCTATGCTCTTCAGCTCAAGGAGTGCGCGCTCTACTGCTTGGAGCCACAGCACCACTTCCAGTTTTCTAGTGGTTTATTGGAGATAAGAGTCTCACAGACTTTCCTGCCTGGGCTGGCTTTGAATCGTGATCCTCAGATCTTAGCCTCCTGACTAGCTAGGATTATAGGCGTGAACCACCGGCGCCCAGCTTAGAACACTGATTTTTAACCCGAGGTAAACACCAGAATAATTTTTGTCACTTTAAAAGAGCTAGCAAGCCCCAAGAAAAAGCAGACATTTGCACCCAAAGACTAGAAAAGTAAATCTGTTTTCATATATGCCCAGGTTAAGGTGTATAGCTCTGAAAGCCAAGAGTGTTTAATTGAGAATGAATGTGACCTTCTTTAGCAGAAGGAAAATAAAGATGGGTGAAGGCAGGGACACAAATGCATCTTAGGGGTAAATACCAAACCAAGATTATTTCAGGCACATGACAGAAAGAACCAGACATTTCAGGTCACTCTACCTTTTGAGCATTTCTCCATGTCCTCTGAAGTCTGGAGCCAGAATGGAATTCGTGTCTCACCACAAGAAAATGATAAATTGCTTCCAGTTTGAAATGAGTTCTGCTTTGATATACTGCTACGCTGTTCAAGGATAAGAAGACATTACAAATGGGAACAGAGCCCAATGAGGAGACTTTAGGGCAAAGAGTAACAGGTTAGGTTAGCCCCTAATTGATGTCATCTGCCATGTGTTCCTATCAAAACACCCACAAAGAAACCTGAACACTTTTGGCTTTTACCCCTGCTTGGCTATATCAGAATACAATGCCTCACATGACAATGCTTATTTTCTTCCTCTGCCAAATGGTAATACCAAATTAATGATATGCAGGTTTGGAAGTATCCTGCTATCTTATATGAATATGTGTGTAGGATTTAAACAAACAAATAAACAAAAATCCTGATCAATAGGAAGCAAGAGGGTTACTAAACTGCTCCTCAGCTATCGCGCCTGGTCCTGATTCTGATTTATTGAGCAAAAGATAAATTACACACCTGCCCCTCCCCACACACTTTCCTTAGACTCTGCTCTCAACAGGGACTTCCCTGTTACAAAGCCACCCCCTTCTTTTAGTCTCAGTATTTTCAAAATGCTCATTACCTTCCTGCTGGAAATGGAGTCAAACACCCCCGATGTCGAGTCTGGGACAGTGGACCCAGGAAAAAAGTGATTGACATCTCGTGGGAACATGGCGATCTCATTCTGACGGTACATTCTATGATGACGGAGTTTGGACACCCACTCATCAAAGACTTCTTCTGACTTCACCTAAAACCATGTCAAATGAAAGAAGGAAAAGAGAATCACTTGCTGAAGGAAATAATTATTCATCAAATTGAGGTCACTCCTGACGTGTTATTTAAAGTTGACACATGTAGAAATGTAGAAACAGTTTCTGTGGTCTACAGGAAGAAGTCTGGGCAGGATGTAGAGTAAAAATGATCTTCATAAGTATGTATTTAGGTTTTCATTGAGAAGTTTCAATAGCTATGCTATATTTTTAAGAAAAGAAAAAAGTACCAGTTATATTAAACAATAAGCTGAATTTTATATTTATGTCTCTTAAAACATTTCCACGATCTCAGGACCCAGATTTTGCTATCCCTGCTGAATGTAGTTAGCACTATTTTCCTATTGAAATTCTTTTTTTAATTCAGATATTTCAGATCAATCTTCTCCAAGCTACAAGAAATTAGTAAATTCTTCCTAAAATATTTCATCTTGTTCAATGACTCTGACAAGAGTATTCTGCTAGAAGTTTGTTAATAAATGTGATAGTTATTTAGTGAACATTCTTCCTACTCTCAGAAAAGGAGGAAATATGATAAAGCATTTTGAAACAATACTATCACCATATAAACTCAACTGCCCATGGTTTCCAAACCAGAAGGGGTGAGATTTCTAATTTTCATAAAGAATGTTTGTGTATAATAATTTTTTAAACTTTACTATGCAAGTGCTTATTTTAAATATATATCATTTAACTTGGTTTCTTTTCAATAGATGCACTATAAAATTGATATTAAAAACATTTATACTATAATCTGACAGTGATATAAATGCAGACATTTCAAAAAAAAGGAAGAAAAGCTTAAAATGTCTTTTAGAGTCAGCCTATTTTCTTTCATGTTTCTGATGAGGTGTGGCCCCTTCGATTCAGCAGAGGGAAGATGGGAAGCAAAGAAGGTTGACAGTTGCTGATGTGTGTGTCTAGCCACTAAATCATTGCATTCATGCTAAGACCTCCTATGCGCTCCCATTAAACCCCATTCAGCTCAGAAGGGTAATATGTGCACTGTAGCCTGTGGCTGGGTTCCTACTGCTGGCCTCTCCCCGACAAATCGCCCCTCCCACCACATTCAATTCGCACAAACTCATAGTCTTCTCCAGCTATCCTCCACAAGTTTTATATGGTATAGGAATGGCTCTCATAACCACAATCCTGAGTAAAAAGGAAGCGATGAGAACATAGTCACAGAACTTGCCTCTGGAAGACTTTCAAAGATGAAAGGATCAAAGCTGATTGTCAAAGGAGGCTTTAATTTCATCTGCAAAATATAGTGTCTAATAAATTTTTGGGGAGGTCCGGTCGTGGGGCCTGAACTCTGGGCCTGGGCGCTGTCCCTCAGCTCTTCAGCTCAAGGCTAGTGCTCTATCACTTGAGCCACAGCGCCACTTCCGGCTTTTTTCTTTTTTTGCTTATGTGGTGCTGAGGAATCGAACCCAGGGCCTCATGCATGCAAGGCAAGTGCTCTACCACTGAGCCACCTTCCCAGCTATAGTGTCTAATATTTTAAAAAAATTATTTAGCTTTCTTGATACAGGGTCTCACTATGTAGCTTATGCCAGCCTTGAACTTGTGATTCTTCTGCCTTCACCTCATGAGTGTTGATATTACAGATGTGTGTCTAATAATTTTTATTAAAACAATTTCAAATGTTCACAGAATACTGAAAAGAATCTAGCAAGTACTTCTATACCACAGATATTTGTTACAAGTCAGTATTTTCAAAATGAAAAGCTGCAATTTATTTGATGTGTGTGTGTGTGTGCTGCTCAGAGCCTTATACTCTTGTTCAGCTCCTTCTTAAGGCTAGTGCTACTTAAGCCACATCTCCACTTCCAGCTTTTTAATGGTTAGAGATACGTTTCTCAGATTTGTCTGCCTGGGCTGGTGATCTCAGATCTTAGCCTCCTGAGGAACTAGTATTACTGTTGAGCCACCATCACAATTTAGAACAACCCAAAAGGAGGCCTAGAAGGTTACCTTTCCAAATGGAAACTGCAGGCCAGGCCAGGCCAGCAGGAAATCTTTCCTCTGGCTCCAGCTAAGAAAAGGGCTATGTCCTCAAGCTCAGCAGTATCACTGGTGAGAAACTGAAGGAGGTTTCTGTGTTGATTACAAGTTCCTGGAAGACTTAAGACTCCTCAAGGAGCTATTTAACATGACATTTACAGGAAGACTCAGTCACACTGACACAGGTCTTTTTGCCTTTCTGTATTATCATGTACCTGAAATGCATGTCACTTCCCAGATATGGTGAAGAGCAACTTTACCAGAATCTTGTGTCATCCAGTACTGATCCACTTGCGCCCCAGGATAATCAGTGCCCAGAGCACTTAACTCACTTTTTATTGGGAAAAGGAGATAAGTGAACTCATCTAATTAAACTACTGCCCTGAAGTAGAAACTGGGTGGACAGTCAGTTATCTGTCTGCTACTTAGACCTCTTATCTGTATAATGAAAGAATGGATCTGAGTGTGGTAGTATATACCTGTTTTCCTGGCATTTATGAGGCTGAGGCAGGGAGACTGAGAATGCAAGGCCAGCCGGGGCTACACAGGAAATTACAGAAGAGCCTGAGCTACATTGCCAGCTCTTGTCTCACAGCACACACATACATACAAACACAGAGAAACACACACACACACACACACACATACATACATGTGGACAGACAGACAAGCAGACAGACAAACAAAGAGACAGAGACAGACAGACACAGAGTATTCAAGAAAGTCTGGCTCTGATGCTATTAACTAGGACCTCAGCTAACCACACTTCTACTGTAGTCACAGCTGATGTTAAGAATAAGCAAAAAAAAAAACAATTAAAAGTGAATCACCTGGAAAAATATTAAAATGTTGAACATTAGACCAGTATTTTTAAAACTAGGAATTAATAATTATCTGCACTTTGATAACTAGAATAGTAGTAAAGAAGAACATGTAATTTCTTGTCCATGTCAAGGCACATAACGAACTCACTGGAAGCATACCATGGATCCATTACCAGTCTGTCCCAGTAGAGACTGGGACTTCAGGTAGCAGTGGGGTTAGTTTTCCTTCTTTCTGTTTATCTTTTACTGCACATGATCATTCTATTCTTACTTGGGATTTGGGGAATGGGAAAGGGTACTTGGAATATCTGGAAACATTTTTGATTGTCACACTAGAAGAGCATAATACAGGCAACCAGAAGGGACAGAAACACTGTTAAACATCCAATGATGTCTGGGGCAGCCACACTACAAAGAATTATCTATCATACAATGTTACCAATGCCAGGCTAAGAAACCTTGATTTTCTTCCCCCAGGTACTCAAGAGGTAGAGACTAGGAGGATGGAGGTTCAAGGCTAGCCCAGGAAAAAAAGCCAGTGAGAGCCCATTTCAACCAATAAGCTGAGTGACAATGGCTCACATCTATAATCCCAGCTACAGGGGAGGCACAGGGAAGAAGATCACTAGCCAAGGATGGCTCTGGGCAAAAACACTATTCAAAAAATAATTAAAGCAAAAAAAAGGGCTATGGGTATAGTTCCAATGATAGACTGTCTGCCCAGTGCAAGGCCTTGAGTTCAAGCCCTAGTATACTCAAAAAATAGAAACCCCGATTCTATTACATCTTCTCCTTCACTTCCTTACTTTTGCTCTTTTGCACAAGGTCTTCCTATGTAGTCCAAGCTTGCCTTAAACTTGGGATCATCCTGCTTCTACTTCCCAAGTGCTGGGTTTACAGGTGGGTGCCACCTTGCTTAGCCTGAAAATCTGCTTTACATAATGAACTAAGCTAAAAGTTCAAGACTAGACTAGAAGACAGCGCACACTCAACTCCTCGACCCAGTTAACCAACCACATGCACATGAGACTTTTTTTCTCCACTGCATATACTACTAAGAGGACAGTGGCATATTTAGATCTGGTGCTCATGGTTTCATGACTTTACTTTCCTAACCCTCAGCCCCATTCCCCAAATCCCAAGTAAGTTGCCAAAATAAGAAAATAGTCTTAGCTGGGCACTGGCAGCTCATGCCTATAATCCTAGCTACTCAGGAGGCTGAGATCTGAGGATCATAGTTTGAAGCCAGCACAGGCAGGAAAATCCATGAGACTCTTATTTCCAATTAATCACACACACAAAAAAAAGCCAGAAATGGAGCTATGACTCAAGTCAAGTGGGGCAGAGCCAGCTTTTGAGAGATAAAGCTAAAGGACAGCACCCAATCCCTGAGCTCAAGGTCAAGTACCACCATACATACTATACACTATATATATATATATACACACACACACACACATGCATACACACCCTCTCTCACACACACATGCACATACATACACACAAAGTGTGTACGTTTTAATATTTTCTCAATTAATTCTTAACATTTATGTACCAACTAATAATCCTAACCAAACTTACTGAGCATAGAGAGGACCGGGTTTTATTTGAGTCCTACAAGATGAGCACTGTAATAATTTCCTCTCCTTCTTTTATTTTTGGGGGCAATAAAATAAGAGACTCAGCAAGGAGTATGCAAGTATGCATTCTGGATGTCATGTTTCATGCTTTCTCTTCTCTATTACGGCTATAGAAGGGACCAAGAAGGTGAACAGGTACTATTTTCAGATTTCCCACTTCAGGGGAAAAGTCCTAGACATTTCATTGGAATACTGGAATGTGAACAGAATCTCTATAAAATTAGATAAAGCTAGGCACTGGTGGCTACTCAGGAGGCTGAGATCTGAGGATTGAGGTTCAAAGCCAGCCCAGGCAGGAAAGGCCGTGAGACTCTTATCTCCAATAAACTGGGCCGGAAGTGGCACTGTGGCTCAAGTGGTAGAGCTGAAGAACTGAGGGACAGCGCCCAGGCCCAGAATTCAAGCCCCACAACTGACAGGTGGGCTCATTGCAACAATGAGATGTACAAGTCATTATGTCGAAAAACGAACTTTACAACTTGGGGGGGGGGGGGGTAGAGATGAGAAGGGATGGGAAGAGGAAACAAAGGAGGAGGCAACAATGCTTGATAAGAAATGTACTCATATCTTGCCCATGTAATTGTAACCCCTCTGTACGGTATTTTCACAGTAAAAAAAAAAAAAAAGAATTAGAAAAAAAATTTTTTTAAATTAGATAAAGATGCAAGACAGGGCTCCACAGAAGAAATACTTCAGACATTGTAAACTATGATAAGTGGTTCTTTATTTTAGACATTACTGCCTGAGCAAAACCTGGGAACATAGAACTGCTTTTGTTATCGATTATCATCACAGTCACTGGGTGTGAGGGGTCATTATCTGGAGGATGAGAGGACAGGATGTGAAACCTTCAAACAGTGCCAGACAGTCCTGCACATCCTAGTATGTGAGAGGCTGTCCTTAGGGATTTTTCAATGATGAAGGTCTGCAAATGCTGGCCAGATATCCAAATGATACCATCAACAGCATAGTAAATGACAACCAAGATAGGAACAATGCTGCACACCTGGAGTTCCAGCTACTCAGAAGGCTGAAATAGGAGGATCACCAATCTAAGAGCTCTACATCAGTCTGCAGCATAGTAAAATCTCCTTTTCAAGCAAGACCAAAACATTACACATGAAAGTACTGTGCATGTAAGAGAGCTCCCTGTGTAGCAGCCTCACCTTCAGATGGTAGATGTGCTCCTCTGTGTCAAGATCTATGCACTTGGATGACTTCTTCACAGACATCACTGACAGCCCCACATCAATGCAGCCATGAAGTTTCTCCCTCTCGATCTGTGGAATAGTAGTGGTAAAGGACTGGTGATCTCTTCCCCCTGATCTTCCACAAGCACTATCAGGAAGCGCAAACACCATGGCTGATGGAGCACTTAGCACCTCAGTGCTGAGTTAAGTGCTGGGCATACACTGACTTCTGTATTCAGGGAGGGAAGAAGGCCTCTCCTTGTTTCATAGTCAGAGGAGCCAAGTAGTGTACAATATTCACTTGGAGAAGCAGGAGAGCAACCTCCATGGGTTGATCCTCACTGAATATAGTATCTGTGTCCAAGTCCATTAAGAAGTGACTTAAAAGTACTATTGGTCAGGAGACTCAGGGAGGAGAAGCAGAGGAAAGGAAGAAAGAAGAATCCTATATGGCAGGCCTACCAATCACTTAGAGCACTCACAGCCGACTGCTAGTGTTTCCTTCATGAGAAGCTCTCCTCAGCAAGGACCCTCTAAACCAATCCTGTGTCACTGTGATGTTCAGGCACCATAGCGGTGAGAATGCCACATCCTGTGCTTTGTTGCTGTTGTTAATTGCAAAGTGCCTTGATCTACCCAGGCAACCCACCATAACTCAAAGCCAGAACAGATCCATATATACCCAGTAGGGAATGGTGGACTCCCAGAACCTCTCCCTGAAGGTGAATTGAGCCCAGCAAGAATCTCAACCCAGGACAGTGCAGAGCAGGCACCAGTATCCTATCTGGAAAAACCATCATCCTCAAAGCACTATGGCCCTAGATTATGCAATCTATCCCTTGAGCTGGCAACTTCCCCACGGGATTCAACAGCATGGAGGACCAACAATAACACTTACATCTGTTTGGCTCTTGGCATATTTCAAGATTCCTTTGTCCAGGTAGAAGAATCTCTGTGAGGAACAAGATATAATTCATTACAGTGATCCATTTGAAACATCCTTCCTTTGGTGTTCAATTTTGGCCGGACATACTTGTAATCTTGGCTACTGGGGAAGTAGAGCTAAGGAAGAAAGTAGTTTGAGGCCAGCCCAGGCTAGCGTTGGCAAGAGGCTGTCTTAAGCCAGGAGCCGGTGGTTCTCGCCTGTAATCAGGAGGCTGAGATATGAGGATTACAATTCAAAGCCAACCCCGGGCAGGAAAAAGCCATGAAACTCTTATCTCCAATAAACCACCAGAAAACCAGAAGTGGCGCTGTGGTTCAAGTGGTAGAGCATTAGCCTTGAACTGCAGAGGTGAGCAACAGTGCTCAGGCCCAGAGTTCAAGCCCCACAACTGACCAAAAAATCAAAAACAAAAGAAAGAGGGGCTGTCTTAATCAATAAGCTGGGAATGGTGGCATGCATTTGTAATCACAGCCATGTGGGAGGCTTAAGTTCAAAGATCTTGATTGATCATAGCCTATAAAATAGGAAAACCCATCTGTAAACAACTAAAGAAAAATGGCTGGGAGCCTGGCTCAAATGGTAAAGTACCTACTTAGCAAGGGCAAGACCCTGATTTCAAACTCCAGTGCTGCTGCTGCTGATAATAATAATAATAATACCCAAGAATCAAGTACTGAGTGGGACACACAATGAATGCCCAGAAAGAGGATGTGAATGCTAATGTCTTACCTTGTGCCAGCCTTTTAGGGGCCATTTCCTCTTTTTCAGCAGAAATCCTTTCTGCACAGGCGGCTCTTGGGTGTAATTCATCTCTCCCCTCAGTCCTTCCACCACTTCCCAGCTGTCCTGCTCCAACAAAAGACTTTAAATACCAATCTTTTAAAAACATCACAACATTAAGAAATGCTTCATGCTGTCAGAAAATCCATCTAGGGGTTTGTTGGGCAGAAGAAATTCAAATTTAATTTCCATGTAGTCCCTGGACTTTATAGACTTAATGCTGTACTTCAATGAGATCAGATTTGATTGCTGAGCTCTGTTTCAGAAGAGACTGTTTCTCTCACATTTGGTGTCTGAGCCTTGATGAGCACAGCTGAAGGGAAGGATCTGACGGCAGCTTCTATTTTTATTCACCTTCACATCACCACACTACTGTTCACTTACTAGACTTTAGTCTGAATGTCAACCAAAAGCTAGACAACAGGACGGAAGGGGTGTTTATAAGCGCGCGCGCGCGTGTGTGTGTGTGTGTGTGTGTGTGTCTGTGTGTGTACCTTGTTTTTAAAATTTGAACTGGTTTAAAATTATGAGGCTAGATACAAATTAGCAAATGTGATAAATCAACTGAAATAATGATGTCATTAATAACTATCTTCAAATTCTAGGTTTTAAATAGTAGAGATCTTGAAGCATCAAAAAGATAAACAAGTGACAAGTATTTTCCTAAGTCCCCTCCCCAATGCTATGTTTTCGGCCCTTTCTTTTGGCCAAGATTTCATATTAACTCCCTACTTTGAGTCAAATGTCAAACTTCCAGACAGAAGCAGACATCAGGAGATAGACAGTAAGGGCAGGCACAGGTCTCAGAGACATTTAGACTTGGTTCCTAGGAAACACATAGTATGGTCTACCAGAGAGGACATGGAAAGCAAGGAGTCCTGATGGCTCATTTTCATGCTGTCCTCAATTCAGTACATGCTCTTCTCGAAACAAGAGCTGTCTCCTACATCAACACTTGGAACTCTTTCTCCTAATGACCTGACAGATCTATCTGCTCTATCTCCCATTCCCTTTCAGTCTGAATGGAGTTGAAGATACAACCTAGAATTCTGAAACCACTTCAGTGGTATCTTATAATCTGGAGCTATGAAAAGGGATTTATTCAATAGAAAAAAAAAGAAGTGGGAGAACAACAAGGGAGGGGGTAACAATGCTTGACAAGAAACCATGCACATCAAGTGTATCCAGCATCATTGGATCAAAAGGCTATTTACGAATTAGACAACACATCCATGTTTATAAAAGTCAGCTCTTGCACCGTGTTGTTATTAAATGAAAACACAAGGCCCCAAATCCTCTGAAAAGTACTGTAAGTGGATCAAGCCCTTTGGATTTGTTTGTCTTAAGACTGTCAAGCAACTTGCAGAGCGCTAATACGCATTGCCTTACTCATGTAACTGTAACCCCTCTGTACAGCATCTTTACAATAAAATATATTTTTGAAAAAAGAAGAGACTTTATTTTGGAGAATTTTCTCCCCTGAAAATAGCAACATCAAATGGAATTTCCTTCATTACCAATTATTTAGTCAGTTTCACCTAGACTGTAACTAGAGAAGGCATGTAGTGATAGAAAGCCATAGTTCCTCTCATGTGAAAACACACACACACACACACACACACACACACACACACACACATCCTCAAATATATTTTGGCTCAGAAAGTAATTTCTCAAAGAATTAAAAGTGATTTACCTGCTTAAGTGTTAATGAGTCTTTAAGGCTGTCAAATTAAACCTTTCTCCTCCTTCAGGAACTCCATGGCTCTCCACCTTACTTTCCAATGCTCCCTACTTAGGATAATACACAGGAAGTCTTTTCATACTTACTGGACAATAGCCTCTTGAGTTTAGTTTACATCTGATGTCTTCACAATCTTAACCTAATGTCTATGAGTAGGAGGTACCTAGTGGCAAATGATTAAGCTTAGTTCTGAGACAAAGGTGCAAATAGATTTATGTTCTCAGAATATTACAACTTGGCACCATGCACATCAAGTATATCCAGCATCATTGGATCAAAAGGCTATTTACGAATTAGACAACACACCCATGTTTATGAAAGTTGGCTCTTGCACAGTGCTGCCATTAAATAAAAACCCAAGGCCCCAAATCCTCTGAAAAGTACTGTAAGTGGATCAAGCCCTTTGGATTTGTTTGTCTTAAGACTGTCAAGCAGAAGGTGACTAGCAGAGCGCTAATACTAAGCAATCACACCCATCTTCTCAATACCTTCAACTGTGCTCAGTACAAATGCCAAGAGAGTTTAGCTATTACTGCATACTTTACAGAACTGGATGAGATCATAGCTGTAGTCTAAACGAAAAGAGAATTAAATTTGAAATTGGTTTAAAAGATTCAGATTAGAACAAGATTGCACTTGAATTTCTGACACCTAACAGATTCCTTCCAATGAGCCAATCTAGTGTACAGAGAACGAGAGTAGCTTTATTGGGCCCTCATGTAAACAAGCCAAAAAAGTGTTCATATTTTTTTTCCTCTATGAAATGTCTTGTGTTTCCTTCATTTTACTTTCTATTTGGGACCAGAACTGTGGAACTGTTGCCACACTAGAAAAGTCAGATTTGCAGTATTTAAGAAAGAACAGGCCTTCCTGCTCCTTGGCTGGGAGAGTAGCACTGAAGCCAATGCCTTTTCTGGGTTACATATCCAAATATTCCCCTCCAGTTTCCCAGCCCCCATTCTAGGGTCAGCAGAGCTATCTGAGCTTGTTCGTTGTCAGAGGCCTGGGCTATTCTTTCTAAGGCTATACAACTCTGGGACCAATTGTGGGAAAAAAAATCTGCTTCAAATCACTTGATCATGAAGGGTTCATGTGTAGCTCATTGATAGAGAACCTTGCCTAGCATGCACAAGGCGCTGGCTTCAATCTTCAGCACAGAAAAAAAATAAATAAAAGATAAAATCACTTGAAAGTATAAATGGATTCTCTTTCATATATGTTTTCATGGTTTTTGTATACTCTGAATACTAGGAATCAAGTACTGAATAATCAAGGGAAGACTTACTGCTGGGACTTCACAAAGTATCACCCTTTTTGGGCAAACACATCACAGAAGGCCATGCTATCTGATTTGTTAACACAACACACCTAGACTGTTTTCATACTCACATCATATTTTACATACAACTTCCTTACATCTTCTGATATAGTTATGTCTGGGCTTTCACATTTTGAAATATATATTTTAATATTAATCACATTCTTTGACATTTCCTTTCTTTTACAGAAAAGTATGCTGTTGATATCTTTAAAATATGTGTGCATAACTGATCAAGATGCATTATATTCATAAACTGATTTCTTGACTGGTGACTCTTTCATACAACTACTAAAAATAATTAAAAATATAATTTAAAAATGTGTGTAAAAATCAATAGTGAATTTCATGTGAGAAGAGTTAAATGACCATTAAAATATTACTAAAAATAAAGGAGTTTGGGGTTAAGTGGATGGTTAATTAAGTACTATAGATAAACCAGGCACCGATTCTGTGTATCACTGTGAGAGGGAGTACTAGGTCATGCTATAGTATATGTAAAATCACTTTGAAAAGTCCAAGGGCTCTAATGTTTTATTCAAGTAAATTCACCTGGTTGAATTTTGAACTTGTCTGTTTTCCATGTCCCTGCCTCATCATTTTCAGCCAACACTGCACCACCCATTGATTTCACACTTGTATTAAAGTCAACAACTGTAGAACAAAAAGTCAGTGGTGGCCCATTTTCAAGGCAAGAAACATTTGATCTTGAGTAAAAAGTTGCTTACATCAGGACTTAACAGCTTATGGATATGACGATTGTAAAGTACTTAGAAGTACTTGAAAGTTCCCTAGATAAACAGAGTAGACAAACAGGACACCAGAAGGGGGTCAACTAGCAGGAGGGAAGGATGGACCACTATGAAATGAGAAACTATACATATACCCAGGGAAGCTTTTATGCCACAAGAGAACAAAACAGGGTGAAGACAAGACTCCCATCTAACCAACCCAAAAGATGCATAAAATTACCCAATAGAAAGCAATGACACTTAGGTCTGGGAAAATTGTACACCCCATAGTACTCAACTGAGGAACAAGGGAGGGATTTGCCTACTAGTGAATGAACTTCTTGTTACAACTCCTTAGGATATGCCTGCCCATCTGACACCAGGTCTTGGTGGACAGTCATTAAAAGTCTCATTTCTGCAGCACTTTTTGTCTCCAAGTCTTCTTTGAGGTTGGATGGGTGTTTTCCAAAACAACCACTGCCGGCTCTGCTGTGTTCCATCCTTCATGCAATATGAGAATAAATATGACATAGTATTTCCATACTTTCATCTCTGTGATTTACTCATAATGTTCCAGCTTCTCAGAATCTTCTCCTAATCTTTTCTACCCTAGTAAATTCTTCAAGTTTTTGGTTGTATCTCTATGTCCTTCCTTGACAAATTCTCTACTAACCAAACCCTATTAGTCATATATATTCATATAAACTATTTTTGCTGTGTATTGCCAGGTAACAGCATTTAATTAACACAGTTTTGTTTTTGTTTTCTGTTTTTTGTTTTTAATTTGTATCCCCCAGTATTTTGGTATTTTCTTATCAAATTATTATAAAGACTATATCAGTAACTTTTCTCATTGTTGGGACCAAATGCCTTATATACACAATTTACAGGAGGAAGATTTTCTTTTGGCTCAGTTTCATAGGATTCAACTCATAGTTGCTTGGCTTTATGTATTTGGGAAGAAGATCATGGCAGTGGTAGTAAGTAACAGAGGAGCTCTTTCACCTCATGGTAAACAGGAAGTAAAGAGCAAAGGAGGAGTAGGGACCAGGTATAACATTTAAAGTCATGCCCTCAGAGACCTACTCCCTCTAGCTAGGTTCCACCTTCCCAAGTTTCAACCACCTCCAAATTAGTGCTATCCTCAGGGGCCAAACAGTCAACATATGAGTCTATCTATCTCCTAGGCCTAAAAGGCCCATGGACATCTCTTAATGCAGCATACATTTAGTCTTTCTCCAAGGATCTCCAAAACCTTAACTTTCCAACAGTG